TATGTTATTACCGAATACTTTTTCCCAGTCAGTGGCTTCCCTTTTTACCCTACTGGAGAAGTTTTTGGATGTGCATAGGGATTTGAGTCTTAGAAGGTCAGATTGTTCCTCCTTCTCCAGCAGAGCATCTGGTGGATTCAAACCGTGTACCTCTGGGATTGCAGTACATTTTCTTGCCACTAGGCCACCAGAGCTCGCCAGTCTAGAAACTAAGGTACACCTGACTCCGGCTGTGATCTTCACAGTTACTTGTTACGCATTAGAGAGCTGGATAGTGACTAATGACGACAGAAGAATTGATGCCTTTGAGTTGTGATGCTAGAGAAGAGTATATTGAACATCCCATGGACTTTAAGAGAATAAACAGATCTGTCCTGGAGACGGTTGAAACCAGGTTGCTCCTTGGAGGCAAGGCTTTTGAAACTGTCTCACTTACTTTGCGCACGTGGTCAGGAAGGACCAGTCCTTGAAGAAGAACATCATGTTTGGAAGAACGGAGGGACAGTTCAGGAGAGGAAGACCATGGATAAGATGAATTGACCCAGTGAGTGCGGCAGTGGTAGCAGGTGTGTTGGAGTCAGTGAGATTGGACAGGATAGGGCAGAGTTTAGAGCTGTTGTTCACAGGGTCACTGTTAGTCATGATCAAATCAATGACATAACAACAACAGTGTAATTATCAAAATCTTTACATTTGTAAGAGTGAAATTATGAAAAAAATGTGACTGTAGCTTTCTCACCACATGGAATGGTTAATATACCTAGATGTCTCAGTCATAGTAGGACAAAGTACACTTGAACTGTACACAGGTATACAATCTACAGCTGGCTTTTTTCCTTTTGCAGATGTGGTCCTATGGTGTTGGATGCTTTGATCAAGATTAAGAATGAAATTGATGCTACCTTGACCTTTAGAAGATCGTGCAGAGAAGGTAAGCATTTCCTTCCCATTAGGCCCAGGACTCATGTTCTCGTCTGGGCAATACCAGAAGAACAGCTGCAGGCTACTTGCACTTCCCTTTCTTTGGTAAATGTGTCCAGAAAGCAAGCCCTGCCACAGGTTGTGGTTTCTTGGTTTACTTCTTTGGGGGAGCTTAGATTCTGCTGCTTGGTTTCCACACCTGGCAGTTGCTGGCAGCTACAGCACCCCTCAAGGACTCCTTTAGATAATGCTGTCTTGCTCCCCTCTGCATTGTCAACTCATTTCCTGGGGAACAATAAGGAGTTTCTAACTGGTCTTTGTGCACGGGGGTCATATGCACCCCTCCAGTTCCAGAGCAAGTGCTCAGGAAATGGAAGAGGTGCATGCTGGACAACTTGAAACAGCGTTTCCCATAGTGTAGTAACAGATCCTGGAGAAGTGACATGAGCAGGTGTTCAGATCAACATTTTCTATTTTAATAGAATTCTATATTCTGAGGCTTTGTCTGACATACTTTGGACATGTTGTAAGGAGGGACCAGTCCTTGGAGACGGACATCATTCTTGGTAGAGTGGAGGGACAGTGCAGGAAGGGAAGGCCCTCTATGAGGTGGATTGATTCAGTGACTGGAGTAATCGGGATGGGTGTATCAGAGACAGTGTGATTGGCAGAGGACAGAGCAAAGTTTAGGGCTGTTGTACATAGGGTCGCTATGAGTAGCAAGTGACTTGACGGCACATAACAACAACATATTAACTTCTACTCTTAACCATGTGGTCTTCTCAGGTCATATCCAGAATTTTCCCATCATTTCATTTTTGTACATTTGTAAAAATGTTAAGTACTGCACAGTTCACTGCAGTATTTTACATATTAGCAAAACATAACTACTAATAACAGTGTAAAAATGGTTTTATACTATCATTCTATTTTAAGTAAAAAGCGTACTTGAAAAAAAGTTGTTCAAGTGGTACTCAGATGTGGCCAAAACCATACAGTGATGGCCATGGAGCAGACTGGATCAGGCTCTCTTCTGGACACTGTATATGAGATAGGTAAATAGATGCTGGTATTGTTATGCACAGCATACACATGAGAGAACTGAAGCCTGCAGGTGGATGAAAGACTTCTTTCTGCAAGGCCACCAAGATAGTAAGTTGGAGAGTCAGACTCCAAATTGTCCCTCTCTGACACTATACTCTGTCAACTTGAAAACATGGAACAAAATAAGAACTGAGGATAACTGGTGCCTCAGAGGACATGAAAGACTTTCTTCCTGAAGTAACCTTTTGATAAAGGGAGAGTCACTATAGATAACGGTCTATCACTTTTTCCCTCCTGCTGTACATTTCAAGCTTTTACAGTTCTACTTCTTACCTCCTGCTGCACATTTCAGGGGTTTAAAGTCTTACTTCTAAGGCATGTTTTGACTTGGCTGAGCATACAGAAATGATTCAGTGTGACAAATGCTGCTGGATTTCATGACTCATGAGTCCTGCTGTTCAGGAAGCACCCTGCTGTAATTAAACACCAGCCCTCCCCATCAAAGTCCTGGCAACACAGAAAATACAGATGCTCTTCAGCGTTCTGAATCCTCTGAGATTCTTTCAGGTCTAAGGCCCTTCGATAAAGCCCATCTGGAGGAAAAAATATGTGGCAGCAGTCTATAAATCACTCCTCCTCCTCATTATCTTACTGCTTGTTTCCTTAAAGAATATCCAGGGGAGCCTTTTAAGAAATCATTAGATTTGTTGTTTAAATAACATGCCTTTTCTTATAAAAGAGCATACTGCTCTGGGTGGATGCCAGGAGGACATAAATTTATTGGTAGTATTCCATCTCTTGAGGGACTTAGGAGGATTTATTTGACGCACAACCTTTCTGTTCTCTCATGCAATAAGAGGATTAAGAGCATTTGTACAAGTAGCCAAGTTTATAGTCTTAAAGGGATAGCACTCGTACTCTCACTGTTACTGTCACCAGTACTGTCCCAGGTCTCACAGGCGATCACAGTTCTCTGGCCTGGTCATCTTCAAAACTACCTTCAGAGAAGTAGGACTGTAGGATTTTAATTGCATCATCATTTTTAAACTCTGACATGCCTAGCAAGTAAGTCCATGCTAAGGAAATTCTCATTTCATGACTTGGGCAGAGCCATATTTTTGTTTTATTTATTTATTTAGTCATGTCTTTATTTAGTTCACTTTTTTCCTTACAGAGTTATACTACTCAGTCAGTTTATGTGAATGCTACATTGATATTGTTGCCTATTGGTCCAGTGGTGAGGATTTTTGTTTGATGTTGAGATAAAATCCATATTGAAGGCTTTTTCTTCAGTGAGTGCTTCAAGTCCTCCTCACTTTCTACAAGCAAGGTTTGTATCATTTGTATAACATAGGCTGTTGATGAGTCCACCTGTAATCCTGATGCCACAGTTTTGTTTTGTTTTTGGTTTTGTTTTTTTAGTTTTACTATCTTTTGTGTGTACCATCAAATCGGATCTGACTGGTACAGGAGGAGATTGTCCTTCCTTCTCCAGCAGAACATCTGGTGGATTCAAACTGTGTACTTCTGGGATTGCAGGGCAGCTTCTTGCCACTAGGCCACCAGAGCTCCCTGATGCTACAGTCTTGATAGAGTTCATTTTGTCAAATTATTTGCTCAGCTTGCAGATTAATAGGTGTGGAGAAAGGATATAATGCACACCATTCCAGACTTTAAACCATGCATTGTTCCTTGTTCTGGTCACACATCTGCTTTGTGTTGTATCTTCAGGTTTCATATGAGCACAATTAAATATTCTGGAACTCCCATCTTAGTGTTATCCATAACTTGTGATCCGTGCAGTCAAATGCCTTTTTGTAGTCAATAAAACACAAGGAAACATTTCTAGTATTCTCTGCTTTCAGCCAAGAGTCATCTGACCTCAGCAGTGATCCTTTGTTCCAGGGCCTCTTCTGAATACAGTTTGAGGTTCTGGTAAATGGCTGTAGATGTTCTGTTCCAACCGTTTTTTATTAATCTTCAGCAAGACCTTACATGTGTGTGATATTAGTGATATTGTTTAATAATATCTGCATTCTATTGGATCACCTTTTTATGGAATGAGAACAGATCTGGATCTCTTCCATTCACTTGACCAGCTAGCTATGTTCCAAATTTCATGGCATAGACCACTAAGCATATCCGGGCCTGTATCTGTTTCCTGGAACACCTCAGTTTGTATTCTGTCAGAATCCTGGGACCTTGCTTTTTGTTATTGCCTTCAATGTACCTTGAACTTCCTCCTTCCTCCTTCAGTACCATTATTCCTACGTACTGAAATGGTCAGCATTGTAGTTACAAGGGTTTATTGTTCGAAACAGCTTCCCCAGCTATTGACTTGGACATTGCCATATAGTGAGTGGGAATATGTGAATAGAGTTTGTTAGCCTACCCACAGGGGATTGATAGTTTTACCACCAGCCAAGAAGCAAGAGAATGCAGTGTGCCCTTTGGGGCAAGAAATTCTTACAATGGCGAGACCTACAAGAGAGCAGCAGCCGGGACCCGACAGGAGACAGAGCTGACCTTGGGACTGCTGCCCCCTGGAATCAGAGCTAAGAGCTTTTGCCTAAGTTTGCTGGAAGAAACTGGAGAGAGAGCCGTAATTGGCAGCACTGAGAGCTTTGTAACACTGACCTGAAGCTGCAAGGTTCATGGCTGAGGTGCCTGAAAGCACATTTCAGACGCTGTTCTGACTGAGTGATTGTATCTTTTTTTTTTCTTTTTTTTTGAGTGATTGTATCTTGTTGCCAACCTGAATTAGAGCCTTTTGACTTCTCTAACATGGTTCTCTGTGGTCTGTGAGCTATCACAAAGGATTTCTAACTCGGTAGAGCCATAAGCTTGGTGTTAGAATTAGTAGAAAGAGATGTGAGAGTGTGGGAAACACATCTGACTTTGTGGGAATTGATTTTGTGTCATGGCTGATACTGATGGGGACAGTTCCTCTTGTGGAGTTTTAGAGGTTGAATAGAGCCATCCCCATGCAACCCTTGATCTTTTTACAAACATGAGCTAATTGTTTTCCCCTCTCTTTTTCTGTTTATTTATGTAAGAATTTGAGTGTGAATTTATAGATCATACGGGTAGTCATTTCTTTTTGGTACAGTGATTGTGTATTCCTGGTTTTTTTTTTTACTCTTCTATCTTATTTTGCTACTTCCTTCATCACTCACTATTTTGCCTGTAGAATCCTTCAGTATTGCAGCTGGAGGCTTGAGTTTATTCTTAGATTCTTTCAGCTTGAGAAATGCCAGACTTGTTCTTCCCTTTTGGTTTTCTAATTCCCAAGTCTTTACCAGTTTCCTTATATAATACTTGTTTTGTCTTGTCAAGCTATCCTTGAATTATGTGTTCAGTTCTCTTCATTGAGTGTTCCTTGGAGGCAAACATGTTGAAGCTTCATCTTTTATACTTCGGACCTGTAACTAGGCAAGGCTATTCCTGGGAAAGGGACGTCATGCTTGAAAAGATAGAGGATCAGGAAGAAGAAGAAGGCCCTTAATGAGATAGAATGACACGGTGACTTTAGCAGTGGATTCAAGTATGTCAGAGATGATGACAATACCACAGGGTGCAGCAGAGTTAAGGGTGGCTGTTCATAGGGTCACTATGAGTCATGCTTGACTTGACGGCACATAACAACATTGAAAAGATTGAAATTGTCAGTGATTTTATCTTACCTGGATCCACAGCCAACACCCTTGATACCAGCAGTCAGGAGACATATTGCATTGGGCATGTTTACTGTCACAGACCTCTCCAGAGTGCTGAGGAGGAAAGATGTTAGTTTCAAGGTTAAAGTGTATCTGATTCAGGTCATGATCTTTTCAGTCTTATATGTACCTGAGAGCTGAACAGAAAAATAAAGAGTAACTTGCACCCTTGAGTTGTAGTGCTGGAGAAGGGGATGGAATATCCCATAGACTGCCAGAAGAACAGATGCAACTTGGAAAAAGTACACGCAGGGTGTTCCTTATTGGTAAAGGTTATGAAGCTTTGTCTCACATACCCTGGGCGTGTTACTGGGAGATACTACTATGCCTTGGAAAGGTCGGTGAAGGAGAATAGACACAGTGGCTGCACAGTGGGCTCAAGTGTGCCAGAGAGGATGAGCATGCCATAGGACAGGCCGGTGTTCATAGGTTCACTGTGAGTCATACCCAGCTCCACAGCCCCTGACAGCAACATTGAAGAGCAAGTGTAAAAGTCCTTCTGACCTTAATTTTGGTCTTTTCTTTCTTTCCTCTCTCTTTAATGACTCTTTGCTTTATTCATGGATAATGTCCTTGATGTCATCTGTCATCTTAACTGCAGTGTGTCAAATCTGTTCTTGAAATGATTTTCAAATTCAATTGTTATAAACTCAGATTCTCAGCTCTAGGTCAATTGGCAGCTCTGTGATAGATGGAGAAGAGATTAAGGTTGTTAACAATTTCAGCTTGCTTTGGCTCCAAAATCAACACTTTTGGCACAGCAGTCAGGAAATCAAAAGACAAATTGCATTGGGAGAGTCTGCTGTCAGAGACCTCTCCAGAGTGCTAAAGAACTGGAGTGTCAGTCTAGGCAGTAAGGTGCATCTTATCCAGGCCATAGTCTTTGCAGTTACTTGTTATCTGTCAGAGAGCAGGACGGTGACTAAGACTGACAGAAGAATCTATGCCTTTGAGTTGTGGTGCTGGAGTAGAGTCTTGAACATACCATGGACCACCAAGAGAATAAACAGGTCCGTATTGGTGAGGGTGAAACCAAGGTTCTCCTTGGAAGCAAGGATTTTGAAGCTTCATCTCACATACTTTGGGCATGTAGCCAAGAAGGACCAGTGCTTGAAGGTCATCATGCTTGACATGGTGAAGGAACAGTGCAGGAGATGACAACATTGGACGATATGGATTGACACAGCAACTTGGGTAATGGGGAGAAGTGTGTCAGAGTCAGTGAGACTGCCTCAGGAAAGGGCAGTGTTCAGAGCTATTATACGATGCGTTGCTGTGAGTCCCAGACAACTCAATGGCACATAAAAGCAGCAAACTCAGAGTCTTGTGGATATATTTTTATTTTCTTTGGTTTTAATTTGAACTTACATATGAATAATTTGTGTCTGTTTCATGGTCAGCCCCGGCCTTGTTCTGACTGCTGATTTTGAGCTTCTCTTCATCTCTTTCCACAGATAGAGTCAGTCTCATGTCCTGTGTAGTCCATCAGATGAGGTCCATGTGTATAGTCACTGCTTCTGTTTTTTAGAAAAGATTATTTATAATTAATAAATCATTGTTGAAAATTCTGTAAGTAATCTCCAACCTGATTTCTGACACTAAGACCGTATTTTCCAACTACCAAAGCTGCTTTGTTTCCAACCTTTGCATTCCACTCACCGTGTATAATTAATGAATCTTAACGGTATATTTAAACAATGTCAACCTCCAAAAGTCAGTAGATGATGTTGTTGTTGTTGTTGTGTACCATAGAGGCAAAACTAACTTGTTGCTGACCCTCCTGTGGGTTTTCAGAGACTGTAAATCACACGGGAGGAAACTGCTCATCCTTCTCCCAGGGAGCAGTTGGTAGATTTGAATCACGTGCCTTTAGAATTGCAGCACAGGTTCTTACTACTAGACCACTAGGGCTCCCTGCAAAAGTCTGAAAAATCCTCAAATGTTCTTTTGACAATAAATGCCATAGCATCAGTCTCAGCTCCCTAATGCCTAGAATGTCGGTCTTTTTGTGTTCACTTTCATTTGTTACAACTCTAGCTTTTTGCCAGGGTCAAAACATAAACAGGGAGTTCTGGTGGCCTAGTGTGTAGGGAGTTGCACTGCCACACAGTTCAAATTCAGCAGCTGCTTCATGGCAGAAAGGTGAACAGTATCCTCCTATGTGATATACTTCCTCTGAAAACCTGCCAGGCGGTCAGCTGTGAGTCGGGTCCAGCTGGATGGTACACAGCAACAACAACAAACACATACAAAGCAGGCCATCCTGAGGAGACCTAACCTTAATCCATGAAGACTAATCTTATCTTCACACATCTTCTAACTCTGTCTAAGTACCATCATCATCTTGTTCTTGTTGTTATAAACAATAACTGGTTTACCAAGACACCATTAACATCACAGAGGATAAAATTTACTGTTGTTGTTGTTGTTGTTATTGATGTTGTTGTTAGATGCTTTGAGTCACTTCAATTCTTTGCTGCCCTGTGAATCACAGAGCAGAACCTTGTCCTGTGTTGGGCCCTTATTATGCTCGAGCCCCTAGTTGTCATTGTCCACTCATCTCCTTGAGGGTCTGACTCTCTGCCTTTCCCAGCATGATGTCTTTTTTCCAAGGACTGGCCTCTCCTAATTGTTGTTGTTGTTAGGTCTTGTTGAGTCAGAAGCAACTCATAGCAGACCCTCTAGCAGGTTTTCAGAGATAGTGAATTGTAGGAGGAGATTGCCATCTTTCTCCCATGGAGCAGTTGGTGGATTTGAACCAAGTTACTTTGGGTTGGCAGTGCAAATCCTTACCCACTAAGCCACTAAGGGATATCTATCCCTGATAATATGCCCGAAGTGTGTGAGATGAATTTGCCTTTAAGGAACACTCTAGTTACACTTTCTTTAAGACAGATTAATTTGTTCTTTTGGCAGTCCAAAGTATATTAAATATTCTTCACCAGCATTACAGTTCAGAGGCCTCAATTCTAACAGAATCGAATAAAAACCACAAATTCATTGCTGTCAAGTTGGAACTGACTCATAGCTGACCCTCCTTCAGGTTTTCTGAGGCTGTAAAACCACTGGGGAGGAGCCTGCTCATCCTTCTCCCATGGAGAGGCTGCTAGATGGAGCCACCAGGGAGGTACCGCCTTTAGGTTAGACCATGTTAGCCTAGCTCCTATACTGATAGTAGTCACGTGTACTAAGGATCCCGGCTGCGCTGACACGCTCTTAACCATGACGGCTTCTTGTGTTTCCTTTAGGCATCTGTGGCTCTTGTGCGATGAACATCAATGGAGGAAACACTCTAGCTTGCACTCGCAGGATTGACACCAACCTCGATAAAGTCTCAAAAATCTACCCTCTTCCACATATGTATGTGATAAAGGATCTAGTTCCTGTGAGTTTCTGCATTGCTTTTTTCCCCCCCATTTACATACATGCATAGTCATTTCACGTGTACTCTATGCTATTTTGTTCTTTAGTGCAGATTTTTCTAGTATTAAAAGCTCCTTTAGTAATCAGAAGCTAGGACAGTTTGGCTTCAGTGACTTTAGTGGTAAGGAATTGCACTGCCAACCCAAAGGCTTGTGTTTTGAATCCACCAGCTGATCTGCAGGAGACAGATGGGCACTCTCTTCCCATTTGGTTTTATGTTATTGTGTACTGTGGAGTCAGAACCAATCCTCCAGCGGGTTTTCAGGGACAGTAAATCACATGGGATAAGATTGCCCATCTTTCTCCTATGGAGCAGTTAGTGGATTTGAACCCTGTACCTTCCCAAAAATTTACTGCCTCTGAAAACCCACTGCAATTCAGAGTCAGCTCTGAATCGGTTCTGACTCCATGGCACATAACATCTCTCCAGCAAGAGGAAATTAGTCATTCTGAGGGTTGTGAAAATCGCAGTGTGGCCTAAGCGTAAGTACACTGTTTAAATGGTAGAAGATAAACACTCCTAGAAGATCCTCCAGCAGCTCATCTGTCAGGTTTGTTTGGGAATAACAGGGCAAAGAGTTTTAGAGTTGGAACAGTCCCAGAAGTAAAGAATTTGGCTGTCACTACAGAGAGTTCCTGTGGAAAAAATCCTGATTGGGAAAGCAGCAGTTACTTACAAGGTTTGGTTCCATGTCTGCCTCCCTAAATTTGAACCTCCTCACTGACTTGGTACTAAGAGTACGCGTGGACAAAAGATTACGGGGTTGTAACGTTTCCCCAGTAAACAAAGATTTCCTCCCATTATGTAACACTGTCACCATTCCTCCTTTTGTAATCTTTGCATGTCTCCATGCCAGAGTGAGAGTCAGCTTCTGTGTGTCATAGAGCAGGAAGCCAGGCATGTCCGAGACACAGGGTACAGAAGAAAGAGGTGCTAAGAGTTGTGATGGAATCTGACCTTTATTTCCTCTTCCTCTTCACGACAGGATTTGAACAACTTCTACGCTCAGTACAAATCTATTGAGCCTTATTTGAAGAAGAAGGATGAGTCCCAGCAAGGCAAGCAGCAGTATCTGCAGTCCATAGAAGATCGGGAGAAACTGGTCATTAGTCCCCTTTTGTTGTCTTGATGTTCTCGTAAACTTTCAGTGATCTTATATTTTTCTTGAGGTATTTCATTATATTGCTATTTCCAGGAGTGTAGCCTAGGAGGTTAGCAGCATGAGCTAATTTAGGTCAGAGAGTGTATCCGACAGATTGTTGAAACTGGAATGGAACTTCTTGAGTATCTGGCTCCATGCTTTGGATACCATCCTCACAAGCCGAGGTGGGAGTGGGAGCTCACGATGGGCCCGGCGTGGACCAAGGAATTGAGGCACCTGTGCCTTGCCTGGAGAGTAGATTGTGACAGAATGTTTCAACTGTCTCAAAAGAAAGCCGTCTTTCAAAATTGGCAGCTTAACCAGTTGTTCTTCAACACTGTGCACAAAATAAAATCCATCTGCAGGCAATTTGCAGTCTCTGCTGCCACTACCCTGTTGTACAGCTGGAAGAGAAATAGTTAATGGGGGCACTGGGACCCGAGCCTTGATGCCCTTTCTTCCTAGTACATCGCTGGTGATTGGGGTGTGAGGTGCTGGCGTGACTCCTCCTCGTGGTCTTTGTACAGGCTATAAAGCTGTTTTTAAAGGAGTGAGTCATTGTTAGGGGTCAGTCTCCTGCATACATTAACCTCCCCTGAGAAGTCTTCTCTTATATGTTCAGACGAGGTTCAGTTTGAAAGTACGCCGTGTTGTTAGACCTGGCTTTAATTTAGGGTGATGTCAGCATTCTGCAGTGAACCTGAGGCATCTGCAGAACCTGTCATAGACTGGCCCGGGGCTCCAGCTCCTCTGTGGTTCCGTCTCTCATGACTGAGAGGTAGTGAGTTTTTCCATGTTATTATTTCTTTTAATGATTTTTCCCCCCTTTTAAGGTAAGTGAGGAATTCTTGTCTATTAAACAGTGAATCCTAGGCTCTAGTCCAGAAGATGTTTATATTTCAGTCCCAGTACCTTTTTATGAATCTGGAACATCTCTGTGTTGGTTGTTCTTGCCAAGGAAGCTGAGATGGAGTGGTTGTGTGTTGCTGGTACCCTGACCTCAAACCTCACATTTCATGAACTCCGGGTGTGGCACAGCCTCTCCCCTGGCATGTCCCTTACGCCCTGCCTCTCCCCACAGGACGGGCTCTACGAGTGCATCCTCTGTGCCTGCTGCAGCACCAGCTGCCCAAGCTACTGGTGGAATGGAGACAAGTATCTGGGACCTGCGGTTCTCATGCAGGTACGGTGCTGCGTCTTTGCTTTTTGTAAAATGAAATGCAAAGATTGAAAAACCCAAGCAGATCAGTGTAATTATTCCAGACCAGCCATTCTGAGAGGCACGTAGGCAGTTGTTTGCATCTTCTTTACGTGGCTTGCAGTAGAGCGGGGGCGTCAGCCACAGACACCTTTGTTCACTGTGCTCAGGGCCACTTTGTGGGCAAGTGGTCCACTTTTTGGCAGACAGTACTTTGTAGACAGTTAAAATGTAGTCCTGCTGGACTGGCTGTCTACCACCACTTGCCTGCTTTGCCCAGCCTGCCAGAAGGCCACAGGGCTTTTTATTGTGGAGGCAGAAGAGAGACATTTGAGTGGTGACCACCTAGCTGTAAGGTTGACTTGTTTCCAGGTTACCAAAAGCCTTTTAGAGTATTCTGTTTAGAGATTGCTTAAAAATAGAGAAGTTTTGGTTTTCATTTCCTTTCACCATGTGCAAAGTTCTTTCTCTTTGTTCCCAGAAAGCTTGTACTTTTTACATTTGTGGAGAGTGCTCCTCACAGAGTCTTGAAGCATCTCAGAGGAGCACCTCAATGATGCATTGGTTACACAGTCAGCTGCTAACTAAAAAGTCACCATTTAAACTCACCCTTTTAAAAAGAAATAAAAGCCATTTCCCCACTGTACTCACTTAAAAAAAAACCCTGATTTCTCATTTTCTACAAAAAGAGAAGTTGTGTGGCCATGGTAGCAATGTAGATTCCCAGACATATGAAAAATTAAAGACTAATCAACAAAGAACAGTCAAACTGGATGCTTGCGCCAGATGACTTGAGCTGTTGGGCAATGTAAAGCATCTTCTTTCTGGAAACTCTGCTAGATTTAGCCTCGTAGTCATGTGGCCAATCATTGGTCAGCTTGCCATTCTCAGACTGGATGGGTCACTAAGAAAAGGAATCAATGAGTATGTTAAAAACTGTCTTAAGACAGGCCCATTCAATCATCGGTTTACTCAAAGGCAGAAATGAATACTACGTTAGCATGGGTGGGTGTTACATAGAATTGTGTGATTCATTTCTTGCCCTCATAATTCATAATCTGGTTAGAAAACTATAACTATTCATTGCTGTCAAGTCAGAACTAACTCACAGTTGACAGTTCAGTGGGTTTTCAGAGGCAGTAAGTACCACGAGAAAAGATTACCCATTTCCCTCCCTCAGGTCAGCTGGTGGATTTGAACCCTGAGACTTTGGGTTGTCAACATAGGCCACCAGAGCTCCTTGGAAGCTGTTTAGCAACATGAGACAATCAGAGGACCATGCCCACTCAAAACTCTAACATAGCTTACCCTCCGGTGGGTTTTCAGAAGACTTAATCACCCAGGAGGAGAGTGTTTATCTTTGTTCCTCGGAGCAGCTGGTAAATTCAGGCTGCCAGAGAGGTGCCACCTTGGGGTAAGCACTGAGGCTCCCTGTGAACTACTCCCTGCTGCCCAGTGTTACATTACAAAGCACCAAGGCACAGGTGCCATGTGGTTTAAAGGGGAGGTCGATGTGGATCGTTCATCAGGAGCTACGAAGGAGTTAAGAGCATAACCTAGAAAGATGGGCAAGAATTAAAGAGTGAGGAGAAAAGGCATCCAGGCTGGAAAAGTCCTGTCTGGCACTTCCAGAGCTCTGGCCTGTGAAGCTAACAACTCTTCTAATTAGTCACTTGTTTTGCAGGCTTATCGCTGGATGATTGACTCCAGAGATGACTTCACTGAGGAGCGGCTGGCCAAGCTGCAGGACCCCTTCTCTCTGTACCGCTGCCACACCATCATGAACTGCACAAAGACCTGTCCCAAGGTACCTCCAAACTGACTGCCATGTCAGAGTGATCCGTGCTCTTGAAACAGATTTGGTCATTTGAAGGAAAAGGAGCCTAGTCAGCTCTGTGAGCCTGGAGGCCGACTTGCTTTGTTCTGGCAAAGAACAGACCACTTCAGGAGCAAAGTGGACATGTTGGGTGCACATGAGTATTGAGAGAGACAGGAATGTGAACTAAGCCTTCCTTTTTAGGAACCAGAAGTTGAAAGCCACCAGAACACAGGCAGCTGTGGGACTGAGCTCCCCTCAGTCTCTTTCTCACAGCTGTGACTACTGATCTGTTCCACTCACCAGCAGCCAGCTTACCCTTTTTTTTCCCTTTTGGATTTCCATTCATTCATTGTTGCCAGCTTATCTTTTTGTGTCCACTCTGTCTTCTCTTTTCTGTCTCCCAGTGACTGCTCACCTGGCCTTCACTCCCTCTTCCTACTCATGCTTCTTGGTTTTCCCAGGCCTAGACTTTTCCTCATAGCACATGCCTGTCTTCCCCCAGCATTTCTTAGCTCAAATTCCTGAGAGGAAATCCAGATGGCCCCACTCACCTTTTTATGCCAGCCCACATCAGAGGTTGGTGGTCAGCTTATGGACAGGCTGCCCTTTGATCTGAGTTCAGCCCTGGTTGAGTCAGCTGTAGCCAGTGCAGGAAAGACCCAGGGCAGTGTGGTTCACAGCATGGCTACCTGCAGACTGCCCTTTGTGGGCAGAGCAATTTCACTCAAAAAGGACATTGAGTAAGCAGGCAGCAAGTTTAATCATTAGCATAAAAGAAAGATGGCAGAAGCGAGGTGATTCCCTCCTTCCTGCCTGGAAACTATTTAGAGCAGGGTAGGGCGCACAGTAAGCACTAAACAACTGTCACCTCCTGTTAATCTAAAAAATAGGTGCTTGCCCTACTTAGCACAGGGTAAGGCTTGACTGGCTTTTTTTTTTTGTAAATAAACTTTAAAAGTTTCTCAGGCTGTTCTGAGATGCATCCCTGGTCAGAACCCTCTGCCTTGAGGGTGGCAGAGGCTGATAAAGACAACTACACAGCTTCTCTGGCCCACCTCTACCCTCCCATGAAACAGGGATGTAAGTTGGGGCTGTGAAAATTGGTCCAGATCATTGGAGCTGGAAATGACCTAAAAGATGATCGAGTTCAGCTCCTTCATTTTACAGATAGAAGAGCCGAGACGCCAATGAGAGGGTTCCCCCGGGTCAGCCTCAGGCCAGTGGCAAAGCAAGACAAGGAGTTCTTAAAACCCCCTGCTTCTTCACAATGTGCTTCTTTCTGCCCTGGGTTAGATGCCCCGCTGTGAACTGAACTGCTTTGTCTAAAAACCCTTTTAATAAACTTATTTTACGGGATGGGGAGGACAGTGCTTTTATGGGTGAGTAGGATGTGCTAAGAAATCTCCATCCCACCCTGTCCCTGCAGCTGCTATTAGCACTTTCCTGTGCATTCTTCACTAGATGTTTTGTACTTGTACTTTTTTTTAATGTTCTGCCAATGAGTGCACACTCTTCATACACAGTGATACTCTATTCCATTTAATGCATTTTCATGATCATTCCATGTCAGTACATGTGTCCTCCACGATCCAAAAGTAGAACATTCCTATAAAATCTTTCATAAGCTGAATTATATAATGCAAACTTGGTAACACGAGGAGGAGGAACACTTGTAAGCAGACACTAGTGATTGAAACATGGAATGTGAGAAATATGGAGGTAGGAAAACTGGACATTGTTAAGAAAGAAATGGAACACATAAGTATTGGCATTAGGTATTAGTGAAATGAGATAGATTGGTATGGAACATTTTTAATCAGATGGTCATTTGATCTACTATGCTGGAGATGAAAAGGTGAGAAAAAACGGGGTTGCTTTCATAGTAAAAAGGCCATTTCTAGATCCATCTTTAAATACAATATTATGAGTGACAGGATAATATCCATATGCTTACAAGGAAGACCTGTTAATACCACTATCATTCAAATTTATGCACCATCAGCCAGAGCCTAAGAGGAGGGAATAGATTACTTCTACCACTGTCGCATCAGAAATCAATCGAACATGTAACAGAGAAGCATTAATAATTATAGGTGACTGGAATGCAAAAGCTGGGAAACAGAAAGAAGGATTAGTAGGCGGAAAATAAGGACTTGATGAAAGAAATGAGGCCGAGGATAGAATGATAGAATTCTCCACAATCAATGATTTATTCATGGAAAATACCTTTTATAAGAAATGTAAACACAAGCTATACACATGGATTTCACCTGATGGGATACACAGGAATCAGATAGATTACATCTGTGGAATTATGGTAGAAGTTCAGTATCAGCAGTGAAAACTAGGCCAGGTGCTGATTGTGGAATAGACCATCAGCTACTCATATGCAAGTTCAGATTAAAGATAAAGATCAAATCATACCCGCGGGAATCAGAATTTGATCTTGAGTCTCTCCCCTCTGAATTTAAAAGCCAACTCAGGAACAAATTTGAGGCCTTAAATACTATTGAATGAAGAACAGATGAGCTGTAGGAAGCTATCAAGAATATCATCCGTGAAGAATGCAAAAGGTCATTACCAAAAAGGAGGAGGAAGAAAAGGCTAAAATAGATGTCAGAAGAGACTCTTGAGTATTGCACTACTACAGCACCGAGAAGCCAAAGAGGGAAAGAAATCAAGAAGTTAGGAAACTGAATAGAAGCTCTCAAAGGGCAGCTTGGGAAAACAAGGCAAAGTATTAATAATGAAATGTGCAAGGAGCTGAAGTCGGAAAATCAAAAGGGCCAAACTTGCTCAGCATTTCTTAAGCTAAAGGACCTAAAGAACATCTTCAAGCTGTGAGTTGCAGTGTTTAAGGATGCTATGGGAAGAATATTGAATGATTCAGGAAGCATTAAAAGAAGATGGAAGGATTATACAGGGTCACTATACCAAAAAGAATTAGCTGACACAGAAGAATTCCAAAAAACAACGTATGATCAAGAGGCAGTGGTGATGAAGGAGGAAGTTCAAGCTGTTCTGAAGGACTTGGCAAAAAAATAAAGCCCCAGGAATTGATGGAAACCAGTTGAAATATTTCAACAAACAGATGCTACCCTGGATGTGCTCACCAGGTTGTGCAAAGAAATCTGGAGAACAGCTACCTGGCCAACTGACTAGAAGAGATCCATATATATTCCCATTCCAAAAAAAAGGCGACTTGACAGTGTAGAAATTACCAAAACAGTATTACTAATAACACACACTAGCAAAGTCCTGCTGAAAATTATCCAGAAATGACTGAAACAGTACATTGACAGAGAACTACCAGGAATACAAGCTGGGCTTAGCAGAGGTTGGATTTTGGCAGAAAGCAGAGAGTACCAGAGGAATGTCTGTCTGTGTTTCATTTGGCTTTGCTAAGGCACTTCACTATATAGATCACAACAAATTGTGGCTACTTTTGAGGAAAATGAGAATCCCAGATACTTGATTGTGCTTTTGTGAAAACTATACTTCGACCAGGAACAGTCCTCAGAACAAAGTAAGGAAACACTTCATGGTTCAAAATCAGGAAAGGAGTATATCAGGGATGCAAACTGACTCCATAACTTTCCAGTCTATATATATAGAACAGATCATTCAGGAGACTGGGCTTTATGAGGAGGAATGTGGCATCAGGATTGGAGGAAGACTCATCAACAACCTACATGGTATACAGATGATAGAACTTGCTTGCTGAAACTGAGAAGAACCCAAAGCATTTACTGCAGAAGGTCAAGGACTGTAGTCTTCAATATGGATTGGAGCTTAACACCAAGAAGACAAAAATTTTCATCACTGGGCCAATTGACATGATAGATGGAGAAGAGATTGATGTTGGTAACGATTATAGCTTGCTTGGCTCCACAATCAACAGTGTTGGCACCAGCAGTCAGGAAATCAGAAGATGAATTGCATTTGGAAAATCTGTTGCCAGGGACTTCTCCAGAGTACTGAAAAGCAACAATGTTACTCTAGAGACTAAGGTGCGCCTCATCCAAGCCATGATCTTTGCAATTCACTTGCTGTGTATCAGAAAGCTGGATAGTGACTAAGGATGGCAGAAGGAGAATCGATGCCTTCAAGTTGTGGTGCTGGAATAGAGTCTTGAACATACCATCAATTGCCAAGAAACTAGGTCTGTCTTGAGAAAGTGAAACCAAGTTTCTCCTTGGAGGCTAGGATTTTGAAGCTCCGTCTCACATACTTTGGGCATGTGGACAGAACCAGTCCTTGGAGAAGGACATCATGCTCGGAAAAGTGGAGGGAAAGCTCAGGAGAGGAAGACTCTATATGAGATGAATTGATACAGTAATTGGTGCAGTGGGGGTTGGTGTGTCAGAATCAGTGAGACTGGCTTAGGACAGGGCAGGGTTCACAGCTGCAGTACATAGGGTCGCTATGGGTCACAGACAACGGCTCATAACAATAGGAAAACAAAGACACAATCACCATTAATTTAAACGGGGTGGGGGGGGGGAATGTGAACATGCCTAGACTCAAAAAATAACCCTATTAAGTTGTATCAAATAGTACATAAAATCTGAAATAACACTAACTTCTAGTAAAAGCAGGAATACATACATCTACTACATACATCGCCGTATGTAGTAGATCTGACAGCTGCGCAGTGGAGCTTCCAGGAAGGCACTTGGCAGCATCCTCTCTCTGTTTGAATTGTATGCTGCCTCTGTATTAACTTATGCAAACAGTGAGCGCTAGTTTTACTTTGCACTTTTTTAATACAAATGAAAATCCTCTTGGGAAAATAGACACTAATGTAAGTCTTCCAGAAGATCAAAGTAGTGTTAAACTTTTGAAAAGTGGGGAATGCCTGTATGGTAAATGCATGGCTGCCTCTTCCCTTCTTTTTAATTTTTGGTGGGGTTGTGTTTTTTTTCCCTTTCGCCTTTCTTTGTGCAACATCTTCGTTTCACTTAAAATTGTGCAGCTTAAGTGAGGGGACCCATCTAATCTCAGATGAGCCCTTGCTTTACCAGATACTTGCTTGTTCCTGTCATCCTCCTGTGAGTCTGCCGTTGGCTGGCTTAATTATCAGGCCTCCTGCAGAACAGACATGTCAGCTACAGAGCCAAGTGCCAGCTGATGCCGTGCTCTTGGCTAGTCCTACCCTGATGTTTAAGAAGGGTTCTTAGCAAAGGATAGTTTTTCCCATATGCCTTCAAGAGCTGATTTCTGCTGATCCTCATCTAATAGTAATGGTAATGATAGGAATTTCTGACTGTTCAAGGTTTAAAAACATCTAGATAGTTTAAGCATCAGCTTGTAGTTACAGAATGACACTGGCAGACAGAGGCTGACTGACATGAAGACACTGACCTGACTCTTAACAGAAGAGCTTTGTACAGTCAGAAGCTTTATGTCTTCTGTGTGGCTCTTCTTTCTGCTTTCGGCCTGCTCTAGAGCAAGGTACACCCAAAGGAATTCAGAATGGCAGGGCTCTTGCCAGAGAGCTGAGCATCTTCCAATGTCAGGACAGAAGAGAACCCGTAACCCAAGTCTCTCTTTTAAAGACTTGACGTCCATTCACTGTGCTTTGGCATTGTACCAACTCGTTGAATGGTTTCACTCAAGGACACAGAGTTCTATCTACTCTATTTCATTTCTCTTTTGATAATTGATTCTCTTCTCTTTTTTCAGGGTCTGAATCCAGGGAAAGCGATCGCTGAGATCAAGAAAATGATGGCAACCTATACGGAGAAGAAAGCTGCAGCTTAACTGATTTTGTGCTTTTTCTTTCTTCCCTAACTTGTGACCAGCTCAAAGCGGAACATAATTTATATCTAATTTGAGCTCCTTCATGGTCTTGATTTTCCATGGATACAGCATGTATAATCAACCACTTTAAGAAATAAATAAAATATTATTCTACTTTATTAGCAAAAGGAAAGCCTATTCCTTTTTCTTGGTACAGAGAAATGTGAGAGACACAGGAGGGGTTCTTGTCCCTGTAGAGTTGGGCTGAGTCTCAGAAATGAGCCGTCCCAGGGTGGGGTGAGGTCCAGTGACTACAGGTGTGGGACTGGTGTCAGACAGAAGCCCTCCACAGCTGGCTGACCTTGGACACGTTCCTTTGCATCTTTACTGCTGCATTTGCCCATTTGTGTAATAGGAACCATAATTGTACCTACTTTACATTTCTTGAGTGCAAATGCCTAGCTCATGTTCTGAGTGCTGAATGAATGCTGCTGCTGTTGTTGTTATGTGCCATCAAGTTGCCTGCGACTGATAGCAACTCTGTACAACAGCTCTAAACCCTGCTCTGTCCTATGCCAATTTCACTGTCTCAGACTGACACACCCACATTACCCCAGTCACCATATCAATTCATCTCATAGAGTGTCTTCCTCTCCTGCGCTGTCCCTCCACCCTCCCAACCATGATGTCCTTCTCCAAAGACTGGTCCCTCCTTTCAACATGTCCAAAATATGTCAGACAAAGCTTCAGAATCCTTGCTTCCAAGGAGCAGCCAGGTTTAACCCTCTCTAGGACAAACCTGTTCATTTCCTTACCAGTCCATGGTATATTCAATACTCTTCTCCAGTACCACAGCTCAAAGGCATCAATTCTCCTATCATCCCTAGTCATTGTCCAGCTCTCCAATGCATAGCAAGTGATTACAAAGACCATGGCCTGTATCAGGCACACCTTAGTTTCCAGAGTGACTCCATTGCTCTTCAGTACTTTGGAGCAGTCTCTAACAGCAGACTTTCCCATAGCAATATGTCTTTTAATTTCTTGGCTGCTGGTGGCAAGAGGTGATTGTGGAGACAAGCAAATTAAATGAAGGCTAGTTTTTCTTATACAGCATCCCCAATTTCTACAGTTTTGAGTATTAAAACTACAGGCACTCCCCAGTTTACAAACAAGTTCTGTTCCCTAAGTCTATCTTTAATTAAATTTGTACTTAAGTGAAATCAGGTACAGATCTAATGTCAAATGTTTTCTTACAATATCATGTGAAGTGTACTTCTCTATATATTAAAAAAACAGACACTTCCAATTATATTACACCTTTGATATAATAAATGCATTTTCACATGCGTGGGTTCTAAAGACCACACTTGATGTTCTAAAGGTCATAATGCAGAAAGTAGTGTAAATTTGAAACTGGAGGACAACCACATCAGATCACGTAGTGCTGGATGGCTGCATTATGATGTAAGCACCAAGGCGCTGAGAATCATGGCCCAGCCAGGATTGGAACATAACCTTAACCAACATAACTAGAGTTCCTCTTGCCTAGAACCTCAGTGTTCACTGCTGCCAGCCACACACTTAGCATACAGAGTAAGTCATGTAGGTGGTTTTGCAGTATTATCTTTTTTTCACTTGTCATAAATGTAAAATACTGAGTCGGGGGTAGGGGAGCTGTATAACAATGAAAGAATTTTTTGTTTGTTTCCACAAAGAAAAGCTAACTGGCGGGGGTGGTGGGGAGGCAGGGAGGAAAATGTACAACAATGAATGAATGGAAATCCAAGTTCTCTATAAACTTTCCTTACAATCTCAATTTTAAAAAAAAATCAAGTCCATAAGTGAGGAGCAGGTGTAATGCTTTGATGTGCATTGCACAGCAACGTCTCTTATTTGAAACCATTTTTTGTACCTTGAGTTTTTAATACACTAGCCTTTGGTGACGAGGGTTAGCTCCATTAAGTTCCATGTAGATTGGAACTCAAGAACTACCCATTTAAAACCAAATCTTGGTAATTATCACTTACTGAAGTAAAATTCTAGATTCTTCCAGTACCAAGCAGTTAACTTAGGAAGGGGCTTGAATTAGTTTCCCAAATTAATCTCTTGCTCCAAACATTTATATTCCATTCCACCATTGCTTCCTTAGCTTTGATGTTGGGGTTTTCTGGTTAGTCTGGTTTTCTAAAAAGCAGATAATACAAAAGTATAGCAAGCCAAAAATGGAGGCTTTCCCCTGAACTACCTTGCATCTCACATCCCCTGTTAACAATTCTTCTACATCTCTCTGCTATTATAGATGTTACTACAAATGTTTGGCATATATAGAACCTTTCTTTTGCACAATAGGGTGCTATACAATCTGTTAGGGAGCTCTGGTGGCTTAGTGGCAAGGAATTGTGCTGCCACCCCAAAGGTGTGCTGTTTGAGTCTACCAGCAGCTCCACAGAAGAAAGATGGGCAGTCTCCTCCCATGCTGTTACTGCCTCTGGAAAGCCGCAGCAGGAGCAGCTGTGGGTAGGTTCCAACTAGGCAGTCCACAACAATGACATACAATCTGATGATAGGCAGTTTCCTATTCTGTCCCTGTACTATCTAAAGGACTCTGGTGCTATTAAAGCCCTACCTTCGTGTGGGTGTGGGTGTGTAGATGCATGCAAATACATACATAGAACTGTTTATTATACACACATACAAGGAATCCTAGTGGCAAAATGGTTAAATGCTTGGCTACTAACCAAATACTTAGACTCAAGTGAGCAACTCTGCTGGAGAAAGGCCTGGCAACCTGCTTCCATAACGATTACACCCTCGGGAGTCCTACGAGGCAGTTCTCTGTCCTGTGGGGTCGCTGTGAGTTAGCATCTATTTGTGTTCAGCAGCACACAGTAGTACATATTCAAGTGTGTGCGATAAAACCTGTGGAAGCCAGAACCTATATAAGGTGGAAACTTGTCAGAGAAGGAAAATGCAAATAGAGGGTAATAGAAAAGTGGTACAACTGCACTCCATTAATAGGCAGACCTGGTAAAACAGGCAACCCCTCGAGTTCAGCCCTCACAGGTTTCCCTGTACATACACACACTGTTTGCCGTTGAGTCAGAGCTCACCCTTCAGTGGGTCCTCAGAGGCAGTAAATTGCACAGGAGGAGATTGCCCATCCTTCTCCTGCAGAGCATCTGGTGGATTCAAACTGCGTTCCTTTGGGATTGCAATGCAGCTCTACCAGAGCTCCCTACACACAAAGTGGTGGTGTTAGGTGCCATCAAGTTGAGTGATCCATAGTGTACAATAGATCCGAACCCTGTTCTATCCTGTGCCATCTTCACACTTCCTGACACATTAGAGCCCATTGCAGCAATCACTGTACCAATCCACCTGGTCGAGGCTCTTCTTCTCTTTTTCTTCTACCTTTCCAAGTATCATGTCCCTCTTCACGGAGAAGCCACTCCTATCAACATGCCTTACTGTACACTCTTAGCATCAGCAGTCAGGAAATCAAAAGTTAAATTACATTGGGAAAAATCTGTCAGGAATTATTCCAGAGTACTGAAAAGCAACGATGTCAGTCTAGAGATTTAAGGTGCACCTAATCAGGCCATGATCTTTGCAGTTACTTGCTGTGCATCACAGAAGAATCGATGCTTTGGAGTTGTGGCGCTGGAGAAGAGTCTTGAACATACCATGAACCACCAGGAAAACAAATAGGTTTGCTTTAGAGAGGGTGAAACCAAGTTTCTCTTTGGAGACTAGGATTTTGAAGTTCAGTCTTGCATGCTTTGGGCACATGGCCAGGAGGCACTGGTCCTTGGAGAAGGACATCATGCTCTGAAGGGTGGAGGGACAGCGCAGAAGAAGACTCCAGATGAGATGGATTGATACAGTAACGGGGAAGACAGTATGTTGGAGTCAGTGAGACTGGCTCAGGACAGGGCAGGCTTCAGAGATGCTATAAATAGGGTCACTGTGGGTCACAGGAAACTTGACGGCACAAAACAACTTCAACATGCCCAAAGTATGTGAGGCAAAGTCTCATCATCCTTACCTCCAAACTTGCTTTCTCCAAAGCACTCTGGCTGCACCCTCTCCAAGACATATTTGTTCTCTTGGCTGTCCATGGGGTGTTCAGTGCTCTTCTCCAACACCACAGCTCAAAAACATCAATTCTGTCATCCCTATTGATTGTCCAGCTCTCTGGTGCATAGCAAATGATCAGAAAGACCATGGCCTGAGTCAGATGCACATTAGTCCTCAAACTGACATTATTGCTCCTCAATAATTTGGAGACATCCTTAACTTCAGACTTTTCCTAGTGCAGTATGTCTCCTGATTTCCTGACTAAAGGCACCAAGGGTGTTAACTGTGGATCCAAGTAAGATGAAGTTGTTGACAGTTTCAATCTTTTGTCAATCTGTCGTGATGTTGCCTGTCAGTTTAGTGGTAAGAATCTTTGTTTTCTTGGCATTTAGATGCAATCCATATTGAAGGCTTTATTCCTTGATCCTCTGCAATAAGTGCTTCAAGTCCTCCTTGCTTGCAGCAAGCAAGGTTGTGTCATCTGTGTAATGCAGGTTATTGATGAGTCTGCCTTCGATCCTGATGCCACATTCCTCTTCATAGAGTCCAGCTTCCCAAATAACCTACTCAGCATCCAGATTGAATAGGCATAGAGAAAGAATGCAACCACGTAGTTTTCCCTTGCTCTGTTCACACAGCAGCCTCTTGGTCTAGATGTAGGTTTCACATGAGCACAATTAAGTGCTCTGGGATTCCAATTCTGCTCATTGCTAACCATAATATGATCCACATAGTCAAATGCCTTTGCACAGTCAATAAAACATAAATACACATTTTTCTGGTATTCTTTTTTTTTTTTACAGAGGTTTTGGATTTCCATTCATTCATTGCCGCAATTTTCTCCCTTCCCACCCCTCCCCACCAGCTCGCTTCCCCCTCTGAAGAGAAAAAAAAATTCCTTCATTAGTATACAATTCCTACGTCCCTTCCCCCCACCCCCCACC